CATGCTGGCTTGGAATTCTGAGAATTGTAGTTCTTATTCCTTGTGACACCCCTAAACTGGAGAGGATTGGCAGATCATAGTATTTTCCAGAGCATGTTTTACCTATACAGGGCAATTGATTGGGTCTTTTGCACATTAGTATTTTGTGTAATAAATAACCCAATACTTCCCTGTGGTTGCATATTAAGATTATAAGTATGGGGCAACCAGTCTTTCAGGAAATTGAACTGTACGCCATTACAGTACTGATCTTGTGATAAAGGACCAAACAAGACAGGAAACACCAGTGCTGTGTTGACATAGTGGTTTACTGAATTAGCTCAATTGCCTAGGTTTGCAAAACAAATTGAAATATATTGTTGGATTTGTCCAATACAAAAGCCACAAATTAGCCAATTCTAAAGATTTCCATGCCACAGCTATTTTTATCCCTCTCCTTTAAAAAACAGTTTGAAGCCAACTCTGATAGTCTTCACTGCTGCCAGTCTTGAAACACTGTGAATAGTAGAGAACAATGGAGTTTTTTTTAAAAAAAAAAACCCATTCAGTTGATGCCAAATCTACTGAGACCTGGAAAAGAAAAGAAAAATCCCTCCAAGATGTGCTATTACAACAAAATAAAACATATTGCGAATGATCTTTCTTGCATTTTCTCCACATTGCATTTCTTTGGCCCTTTGCAGAAACATATTAATGGTATTTATGAAAGCCAGCTGGATGACCCTGCGTCAGTCACTGTCAGCCTTCAAGATTTTCTCCCTTTGCTTTGCATCTTTTGGCTGTCATAAGTAATGGGGGGGAGGGAGGATATGGTTATGGGAAGTGAGTTGGAGGTGTTACAAAACAGAACTGTATAAGTTGGGGGGGGAGATTCTTGCTTAGGCTTCTATCCTATGCTATACACAGCTGCAACTCTTTATCAAAATATGTCAAGGTCAACGGACAGAGGCCTCATCACCACCTGGAGATGCCCACATGATGATATACACAACTTTTAATTGGATGAGCCAATTGAACTATTGGGGGTGGGAACGTTGCCATCACTTTGTATATGTGATTTACCTGCCCATTTTCTCAGATTCAGAATTCTTTTGTTGCTACCACTTGATTTCCAGTAAAAGATCTTTTCTCTAATTAATGGAGTCTAAGTATTTTTTTCTTGGATTTTGAATGGAGCACCAGCTGACATTCACTCTCTCTCCACTCATCCCACCTGGGGTGGTGGGGAATAATGGGAGAAGGTTTGTTCACTGCCTTAAATTGTTTATAAAATTAATAAAGGCAGGGAATATGTACATATATTTATAGAATATATATGAATATATATGAATAGAAGAGATGATTCCACCAGACTGTCAATCATTTGGAAGCCTGCACTCACAAACAAAAAAATTTCCACACCACTAGCCAGGCAAACACCTGGGCACAAACAGATACCCCCTGATACCTCCAGCTCAAACACACCCCAACCAGGCACCCAGATGAAACCTAGCTTCCTAATAAATGATAGCCGTCCATTTACCCGGAGCCAAGCTGCACTAAAGGCCTCCAATACAGGAACACAATGTTGCCAGCCAATCAAGACACAAAAAGAGCCACAAAATAGACAGAAGATATTAGAAACACCAATCAAGCAGAACACAGCCAACTCTAAGACCAATAAACACAGACCAAGACTCCCAACCAATCAGGATGAAGAAAAAAAGCATTCTGGCACAGAAGTAGGCTAGCCCCAATTTTAAAACTCAAACAGCTGTGAAAGTCTGACTCGCAGATGAACACAATACAGAAGCCTGATGATGGCAGATGAGATTCTGCCGAAACGTTGCTACAACTTTAAAAGCACAACTACAATGATGTGGGAAAATACCCGAACAAAGCTGAATACCATACATGTAAGTACCCGCAAAAACTTAAGAAATATATATATTTTCTGAGGTTCTCGTGGGTATTTGTATGTGGAACTTTGGTTGTTCGGGTTTTCTCCCGCGTAAGATTCGAATTATCTAGACAACGTTTCGATGAAGTCTCATTCATCATCTTCAGGCTTCTGTCTTCAGCTCTTGCTTCTCAGAGTGATCACTCTGAGAAGCAAGAGCTGATCACTCTGAGATCACTCTGAGAAGCAAGAGCTGAAGACAGAAGCCTGAAGATGATGAATGAGACTTCATCGAAACGTTGCCTAGATACTTCGAATCTTACGCGGGAGAAAACCCGAACAACCAAAGATCCACACACACACACACACACACACACACACACACACACACACACACATATATATGCTTTCTTAAGTTTTCTTAAGTGTGTATGTGTATATATATATTTGTTTTCTTAAGTTTTCATGGGTATTTATATGTATGGTATTCAGCTTTGTTCGGGTATATAATAACATGGGAAAATACCCGAACAAAGCTGAATACTGTACACACACACACACACACACATACACATACACATACATACATGCATAAATGCTTATATACAGTTTTAAAAGTGACTGCAAGCAAAATAGTACCTTAGCACTTATGCAATCAAGTGCTGTTCATGGTACTTCCTAATATAACTATTTGTTACCATAGGCCAGGAGAGCATAGCAGATTATGAATTATAAATGCTTTAAAAGTTTGCAGATCCTTACCAATTTCCTAAGTATATAGTAGGCCTTTAGAAAGGCACTTAAGAAAGGATCTTTCCTCAGGCACTTGAGTCAGGATACAATTCCTAATTAATATAAAATAGTGTATTTTAGTATGAGTCATTTTTCTTTTTAATTTTTTATTAATTAATTTGTACTCTCCCTAGTACAAATTGAGATGTTGTTTGAGATGGGAAGCCATATAAATGTTTAAGTAAATACAATTCATAAATAATAGTCAGAGAGAGCAGGGGTAAGATTGACCAGAATTATGTTTTTTTTTCTCTTTCACGGGAACCCATCAGAGGCAAAATGCTATTTTAGCCTGAGATTTGGAGATGGGATTGTCTTCAGGTCTCAAACTCAAGGGGAAGCGGGTTGAAGGCAAGAGAGAAGTTTATTCATCCACAAGTTCAGGATGTAAATAAAACAATGGATTTGTTGAGATTATAAATTCAGCAAGGGTCAGAAATATGAAGAGTGGTCCTGCTTTTGAATTGCCTTACTTTCATGAGGTCATTGGAGTCTAGCGTTTTGAAAGTGCTTCCATAGCTGCCTCAAGTATGTTATTCAGATTGCAAGCAGTTGTGGAGAGTAGAAGAGGGCAAAGAATTTAAATAGGTCAACTTTTAAATCTCTATAGTCCCGCGATATTATGACACTGAAGTAAATTGGGAGTAGGAAGGACATCACCCAAAACAAAACAAGAGTTTCAAAGGACAAGAAATGTTTCACCCTTGTTTAGCAGGGAACTAAAGAATAATGTGTGGTTTTAGTGACACAGACATGAGGAAGTACATGTGATGCATATTTTTAGTAAGAGCGTGATTCTTGACACGTAACTGGCTGGGAGGGATTGGTGAGCAAACTGGCAAGAAAATATATATAGTTATGGCAAGAAAGCAGCTTTTCCCAGTCATTTGGACATAATTTCTCTTTCATATTGCTTGAAAATGTCTAACTTTAATATATAATATTAATTTGACATATAAATTGTTATATATATTGCTATAAATATATTGTTCTAACTGTGGCATCAAATAATCTTTCAGTTAATATTTTCCCCAGTTTTTCTGGTATCTATGACAAAATGTATACTCTATAAATATGTTCCCTCTGCTAACTAACTTAATTATTTTCAAAGTGATACAGCATAATAGAACATAATACACTCATAATACACTTTTGGGATAGAGGACACATAAAAAATAAAACTTGCAACAATGCGGATAAAAAAACTAATACTAACAAAGAAACTTTAATTGGTGGTTTAAACTTGAATGGTTAGCAGCCAAACCCTGTCCATGTCTCTTGTTTTAATAAAAATCATAAGTCTTATTCTCCATATAAAGTGGATTTACAAGAGCAATCCCTATTCAGATGACTCATGAACTGGGGGAGCAGGATTGGGCTGGAACTTGCTTTCTTTTCTTATTATCAGTGCACTTGATCTTCAGTTCAAAGCTACAACTGTTTAAAGAAAAAAAAAATGTTCTACATGCCCACAGACTTGATTCAGAAGATCAGATTAACAAAATAAGGAATGAGAGACTGAGACTCTGTATTCATTTAAATGTAGTTGACATAGTAACAATTGACCAGATACATACATCTTTCCCAACTTGGCAGCTCCAGGCAGAATGAGCATTAATTGTAAGCTTAAACATTATTTATAAACTGCAGCCCCCGAGTTCTCAGAACACTGAGCCAAAACTGAAAAAAAATCACATATAATGGCTTAAAATGAACTGTATGCCAATAATTAGAATTTCTCAAATTTATTTTCGCATCCCAGTGACTGACTGAATAGAGCTATTAAGGAAACAGTCCATCAAACAACTACGGTTATACTAGATCATAAATCCTTCGAAAAAATCAGAAAATTCATCCACAAACTCCAACAGATGAATTAGCCTCTGTTAATCATTAACAGTATCTCCTAATATCTCCCCTATTAAGCTTTCCCACACGGACATTGGACGCTATACATTCTCAACCCCAGAGCGAGAGAGTTCTTGTCCTTCCTCTTAGGCTGAGTAATTTATGTATATCACTTATGTGTGGTTCCTATTTAAACAAAGGCCACCAGAAAATCTATGGATTAGGATCACTGAGACAGACCGCTTAGATCTCTGAAGTCTTGTTTCAAAACCCCTGGAGTCTTGTGTAATACGAGAAAGAAGAAATGCATCAGAACACCCATGAGTTCTCTGTGGACTGAGTGAAGCAATATTTTCAAAGAAATTGACTGCTGGACATTTACATAGAGGAGGCACACCCAGGAATGCTGTTGGCTGCAGTGAGAGTTCTCCTTCCTCCATTACCTAGCTCTCCTCCTCCATGTGATGCCTTTAGTCACACCCACCTTCAGACCTGAACTTTTGGTAGCCTGATTCCACTCAGAAGACATTTGCTCTTATTTCAACGTTTCCTCTTTCCCCTTTCCCATAGATGAGAATGCATTTAAGTTTTTGTTTATCCCCCTATCACCCACTGAAGCGAAGCTTGCCTTTGAACATTTCAGACCTGACTTTCTAATGTGGACAAGCAAGTGAAATCTAAGAAGAGGCAAGGACTCCTGCCAAGATACTGTTTTCAACCCGTTCGGTACAGGTGAGTTGAGCAGCTAGTTCACCACGTGGACAACTGCAGGGGAGCGGGGAACCACTCGGGCTTTGCTTTTTAACAGTTTGTTTTCCAAAACTATGTATACCTTCCCTTTTTGCCTGTTTGGATCTTTCTCTAGTAAAAGGGGTTTTTAAACTGGGGGATAATTATTAAGAGAGTAATTTGGGCATATCCTGGGTGTAATGGAGCGATTTGTAATCGTGAGTTGAGGATCTTATTTTGTGACTGCCGCTTCTGAGACACTTGTCTAAAATAAGTCTTTTTTTTTTCCCTTTAGGGGATAATGTCATTTAGACCAGGAAAAGAGGTAATTGGGTCAAACAGTTTCTGTTCTAGAATTTATAGCAGGAAGAGAATTTTTATTCTTTTATTCTTTCCTTTTTAACTGAGCTGGTTTAGTTTCAATCAGACAGCTAAATACTTGGTGAAGTTTTATGCAACAAAATAATATTTGTATCAAGATCCAGCCAACTTAATATTTTAAAATGTTCTAGTAACAGAAATCACATCTATTCTTATTTTCATCCTCTTCCAGTTTCCATAGTTAAGTCCTGCCATTTAAGTGTGTATCTGATATTTCACCTAATCAAAAGAAAGAATAACTCACTGGACTGTAACTAATTCATTAAGAACAGTTTTCAAAGCCATTAACTCTTTTATGGAAATGTAAAGCAGTTGGACCTGGATAGAAAACTGAATTTGAAGGGCAACATATTATTTAGACCAGGGGTCTTGCCAAATTTAAGCCTGGAGGACTTCAACTCCCAGAATTCTGGAAGCTGAAGTCTTCCAGGCTTAAAGTTGCCAAGGTTGGAGACCCCTGATTTAGAATATGTATGAGAATCCAAATAACCTCTGGTGGAAAACTGTAGTCATGTCTTTTCCCAGAAACACAATGCCTCCCCTCTGATCAAGAAGTAGGAAATTAGTATCAGTTTCATTACCCTGTGGTGTTGGAGCTATTTTTATTGCACTAAATACTCAGCTTTATTAGAATGTGTACTTCATTTATCAAATAGCCAAACAGATGCATTTCACAGTATCGGTTGAACCAGTGGTCTCTATCTTAAGTCTACCTACTGATCTTTCTTCATATACATACACTTTCCTTCCAAATTCTATCAAGATACCTTAGGTTTTTAAAGTATTAATTACAAGGTAACAAAGTTATAGGAAGGTGATAGTTTTCATATATTAGGGGAAGATTCCTAAATCTTTCTGGGCTCTGGGTGAGCACATTGAATGGGAATTTGGAGAACATGATATAACCACTCCCACCCGATTGCTGCCATGGTGGCCACAGCGGTGATAGTGTAGTTTGGTGAGGTTACTGAACATCGCCAGTTTCTCAAACTTGGCAATTTTTAGATACATTATGTGGACTTCAATTTCCAGAATTCCCCAGCCAGCCATATTGCCTGAGGAATTCTGAGAGTTGAAGTTCACAGATTTTAAAGTTGTTGTCAATGTTGAAAAACACTTCTCTACATCATCCCCACTACTGAGAATGCTCTCTCACTCCTTAAGCCTATTTTTGCCTTTCCTTTTTGGCAGATTCCAACCAAAGCTAACATTTCAAATTTTCCCATTCTATTTCTATAGTCTATGTAAGACACATGTACATATTGAAGAAAAATGATGCTTAAAACAAATACTTTGCAGGATTCTAATTTCCCATTTAATATATTGAAGAATGTTAAATAAAATGAAAAAGCCCATGGATTTGATAGGTACCAGGGAAGTATTGCTGGACCTAGTAATAGCACCAGTTATCACAGTGAAAGCAAAAGTGATAGGAGTTTTATAAGATTTATAGCAACAGTTTGCAACTTTTCCAGATTTCAGAAAAGTAGAAGGCCCAGGCAAAAAATAAATTTAATTTACTATTGTTGTTCTTTGCACACAATCCACCAGATACCATAGTTATTAGTGATTTTGCTAATTTTGACTATCAGACCAACTGGCCCAGTCACTCTCTCTCAGCCCAACTCACCTCATGGGGTTGTTGTTGTTGTGGGAAAAATGGGAGGAGAAAGGAATATTAGGTATGTTAGTAAACCTTGAGTTATTCATAAAAATAATAAAGGCAGAACATAAATAAATAAACTGGCATATATTTACAGCAGCCACAGCACCATGGGATCATGTGATTGCAACATTTGCAACGTTCCCAGCTGGCTTCCCACAAGCAAAGGCAATTGGGGAAATTGGTTTTGTTTAAGGATCACGTTATTCACTTAAATGCAGAAATTCATTTAACCACGGGGGCAAAAAAGTTTGCAAAATCAGATGCAACTCGCTTAACAACTGACTTGCTTAGTCAATGAAATTCTGGTCCCAATTGTCATGAGTCAAGGATTATCTTGTATAAAATTTCTAAATAAATAACATTTAATGGTTTCACAGGTGTCATATGTAATTTACCATTTGGTGGCAAGTTTTTGGAGGAGTTTTCGTGTGCACTGAAAAATAATTGGGTCATCAGCACATTTCAGATCTAAAACAATATGATAATATCTGAAGCACAGACGGTTTGAAAGGTCTCTAGCAATGTTTTGATATAAGAGTAAGTTCTTTTAGCAAAAAAAATTCTTTAGGACAGTGTGGCGTGTCATGAGGAATTCTGGCGATTGTAATGCAACAACGTCTGGAAGGCTGTGTATCCACATATTTAGTTTTTTATATGGGAGGATAAATTGTTGGAAATCATCTAAGCAGCAGAAATAGCAGGTGTTCTTCAGGTTTAATCCAACTATAATTATTTTTTAGAGTACAATCCTATACACATTTGGTCAGAATTATATTGCAGCAGCTCTATAGTTCCAAGGGCTTTCATAAGGAAATATGAAGTTTGAAAATTACTGCGTTATCATCATGGTATTGCAAAGAATTCTGTTGACTCAGATCACGCAGAGCTCAATAATCAGAAAACAGTGTGGGAGAGGCTTCAGTTTGACTGGAACAGTCATGTATGTAACCATGCATGGACAAAATGGCAAATTATTAACTTCCTTTATAAATAAATGAGGTAAATTCCAAGAGGGTAAAGAACATCCTGGTTCAATTTCAATTAACAGGACTTATTTTTATGAACTCCAAAACAGGGCAATTTGTTCTGCTAATTAACCTTATTTAAGAATTCACGAGAGAACCGTGTTGTAGTGATTAAAGCATCAGTCTAGAAGCTAGGAAGCTCTGAATTCTAATTCTATTTTAAGCACAAAGCCAGCTGAGTGATCTTGGGTCAGTCCCTTTTTTACAGCCCTAGAAAGGAGTCAGTGGCAACTGCTTCGGAAACTCTTCCCAAGAAAACTTCAGGAACTTATTATCCAAGGAATCTCCAAGAATTGAACATGAAGAATTTAGGATGAATTGAGTCTAGGGAATATAATACCCAAGCCTCTTTGTGCAAAAGACTAACTTTTTTTCTTAAAAACTTAGCAGGAGATTATAATAATTACTTGAGATAACAACATGTCTATTTTAGCCATGATCAAAAACTAATTTTATTTTACTTCTTTTTTACTTTTAATAATCATGATCTTTAATCTCTTAAATAATGTTCTAGAACTTGATTTCATTTTTTTCTTTGACCCTTCTCCCAACATTTCTCAAACTTTTAATAAGTCTCCTTTGTAACTCCATTGTAGGAAAGCTATCCAGGTTTGATTTGTTATTTGTAAATTCCTTTTAATTATTAAGACATCAGCTGGTTTTATTAGTATGCCCAATGTAGCATCTTTTTCCATAACATTTTTGGAGTCTGTGATTTTTAAAACTAGTTTTAGCTCAATCTCAGACTTATCCAGAGTAAAACCAGTTCCACATCTTTTAAATGTAGTCTGATCTACACAGGCAGACATTCTCAAAATTAATTTGGATCAATTGTCCAAAAATATCTTTCAATATGTCCATTGTAAAAAATATTTTGCTCCATGCTGTATTAATTAATACATTTTAAGTGATCTCCTAATTAAAATAATTATGAATGCAGAAGTCAGGCTTCAAGCATTTTAGGTCTCATGTGGTCTTCTGAGCACACTTGTTAATAAATAATACTAAAATTATTCTAGGAAGAAGTTGGCTTCAGTAAGCATCAAGTTCTTTGTGTGGCTGTCATTACAACATGGTTTTGCTGTTCCTATGTTGATTGGATACAGAAGGAAATTTCAACAGGTGCATTTTTTCTCAAATCTGTATTATAATTTTGTTTTTAACAGTAACATGAACACATTTACATTAGGTTTTTTTTAAGTTGGTCAAAATGTTTCCAAGTATGGGAGCACTGCACTGTTCCCCATCTTCCAACTTCAGTCCTCTCATTTTAAGTCTCCTTTATCTTGTCATTTCCAGTTCTGGAAACTGGTTCTGGAGAATGCCATGGGGAGGGAGTGGAGGAAAGGATGGCAAAAGGGACAAACTGCTAAAAAAAAAGTAGTAGAACTTCAACTATGTGTTTACCACTCTCATCTTGACTCTTTTTAAACCCCCTGTCCTAGTGGAATCCTTAGCTGGATCCTTGATTCAGTTGCCTGAGAAGCAGGGGTGGGATTCTACCAGTTTGCACCTATTCGCTAGAACCGGTTGTTAACATTCTAAGCAGTTCAGAGAACCGCTTGTTAGAAGAAATTACTGACCTAATCCTGTAAGGAAGGCAGGAAGGAAACATTCTGGTGTTGCTTACGGAAACTGTTTCTCCATTAACCCTTATTACATTCTTGGCAGGACTAGACTTCCTGTCTCAGGAACATCTCTGGAGTTTTTTTCCCCTCCTTTGTTGGTACTTTGCTTCTGTGGAGTGACCATTCAAAGTTACAATGGCACTGAAAAAAGTGACTTATGACCATTTTTCACACTTACAACTGTTGCAGCATCCCCACAGTCATGAGAGGCCAGGCAAGGAGATGCGTGCCTCGATGTGAGTGATGTTGAGTTGGCCACGCCCACTCAATAACATGACCACCAAGCCACGTCCACCAAATCTC